CGGCGCGCACGGCGGCACCTCGCGGCCGCCGCACGGGCCGCCGCCGGGCGCCAGCAGGCCGCGCGCGCGCCCCGCGCCCAGCGCCACGCGCGCCTTCCGCAGCGGTAGGAGTAGCGCCATGTCGTGTGTGTACATTACTGGGCCGGGGCCGACTGGCGCGGCCCTCGCGATGTGCTCACGCAGCCTCTTGGTTTTGTATTTATTCGATACTAGAGGTACATGACAGTCTTTTTTTTTCGCCACAACCATTGTGATATTTACGCATACATACCTACTGCTACCTACACGGCATTGCGAAGTGTTTGATGATTAGCTGCGGTTTACTTATGTACTGAGTTAGTGATTTTTGTGTTGCAGTTTAACATAAATAGAAATAGAGAAATCAATACGTCTTTCAGGAATTTGAATACCCACTTGCTGTGGTCAGTCAGCTGACCCGGCAAACTTCGTAACCGTCTAGAACATCCTTTTCTGTCAATGCCTAGGTACTTTTAGAACCTACAGATGTTTTAGTGCATGTTATTTAACTCGTCGAGTACAGGTTTTGTAGACACAATTATAGAACAATAGGTTGCGGTCACCGGTGACCGCTTGGTGTTTGACAGTTTAAAAGAAACTAATAAAGTTAACATTGTGAAACGAAAGTTTATTAAATTGGTAACAAAGCATCACGCAGTAAGATATTGACGCTGCAACGTCGCTCGACTCTGCCATACCTGCAACAACGGCCACTCTAGTACGGTATCTATACTGACAGAGTCACAAAGTAGGTAGTTACTGTTTCACTCACGTAGAGTTCCTCGCCGGCCAAAACCAACAACTCGGCCGACAAGTCGGTAGGTTCATCAGGCGACCCGTCGGGTGACAAGTCGGGCGGGGCCCCCTCGGGCGCCAGCGCGCACCCCACGGCGGGCGCCGCATGCGACAGTACCGCGCCCGCCGCACACGTCAGCGACGCACACACGCGCACCGCTGCGCTGTACGGGCCCAACGACCTGCACACACACCGTCACTCGTGCCTGCACACACGGACACCGCCGCGCTGTACGGGCCCAACGACCTGCACACACACCGTCACTCGTGCCTGCACACACGGACACCGCCGCGCTGTACGGGCCCAACGACCTGCACACACACCGTCACTCGTGCCTGCACACACGGACACCGCCGCGCTGTACGGGCCCAACGACCTGCACACACACCGTCACTCGTGCCTGCACACACGGACACCGCCGCGCTGTACGGGCCCAACGACCTGCACACACACCGTCACTCGTGCCTGCACACACGGACACCGCCGCGCTGTACGGGCCCAACGACCTGCACACACACCGTCACTCGTGCCTGCACACACGGACACCGCCGCGCTGTACGGGCCCAACGAGGCCGCGCACGTACACCAGCGGCTGCAGCGCCAGGGACACGCAGGCCGCGCCGCCGTCGCTGCACGCCGCCCACATGCACTGCCCACTGCGGGTCGTAGCCATTGAGATAGACAATAGAGTCGAATTGCAGTACAAAAGGTGTCTCCATTGGTTTGAAGTACGAGGTAAAGATACTACTTGACATTTAAAACAAGTAGAAGTAGAAGTATTGTAATAGGTATAAGATAAAATAGTTCTAAGAATAATAGTGTAACATGACCCTAATATGATATAATTCTATATATGGTAATTGAGGTTGTAATAGTACCTAAGTATAAACATCTGGAACCTTAAGCCTAACCTACATACCGTAGGGGGCAACAACCTATGACCTCATCTATGTACCAGTACTATGACATCATCCCTGTAAACCTTAATTATTATAAAAGGGGTCCATTTATAAAATAAAGTTAGTCTTACAACCACCGTCTTGTGTTCACTTACTTTCCCGCGTACCGCTATCACATGGCGACCCTACCAGTGCAGTTTAAGTTCGGGTTACAATTACTAATATGGATAGGCGCCGGTAGTGATCCATAATGAGACGAGTGTCATTTAACATTAAACAATAACAGTGTTTCATCTCTAAGATGGGGAAACAATACAGTACCCCTATATCTCCGGCTGCCCCTGCAGGTCATAGTGATATTTATAATCAATTCGGGAAGACGAACTCTATCGAGCAAAATACTTCGATCACCCAAGGAATCGCAAATATAAATTTCTATTTGAGTGTATTCGTATTGACAATAATTCTGATAGTTGCTTTCGTACTTATACGATACTGCATTTTATCTGTCAATAAGAAGATTGAAAGAAGAGCGCGCAGCCAAGTTATAGACTTGAGCAAAGCTGGTGCTTAAAGGAAACAGAAGTATGGAGCAGCATATGAAGGAGATAGCTCAGTACATGGAAATATTCAGTCAAATTAATGAATTAAGGTGCCAAGGTATACGGATAGGAAAAAAACAAGGTAGAACTATTGTCGAAGCATTTATAGAAGGCAGGAAAGGTCATTATCGGTTATGCCCAGAACAGATAAATAGCCGGTCATTCTGCCTGGTTTCCAACTCACTGAATGTCGAGTTGCATGATGGGACAACTGCAGTAGCCCAGCTGACATTGCAATACGAAGGAAGACTATCCTGGATTTGGAAGATTGAGTGGGAACGTGATTCTACGTACAATGAGTGGTAGTGTGTAGTGCTGTGAAAAAAAAAGAGAACCTGTGAAAAACGCGACGATATCAGGACAATAAGAGAATGTTATTATGTAAGTACGTAATCTAATGATTAGTTTCTTATCCTTTTGTGTATTCATAATATTAAGTAAAATAAAATGTGTTACTTAAATGGCAGATGAAATCAAATCGCTTATTACTAAGTTAAAAGAAGTTAGAACTTATTTAATAAAGTTAGGTCCGAAAAGACGGAAAGGCAAAATCTTACTTCAAAAAAGCGGATGAAAGTTATGTACTATTTTCAACTTTTTCTTCTGTCCTAGCGATAATAAGTGACAACGTAAAACTAGGTAAATCGGACAAGGACACAGAGAAAAATATTTGTGAATTAAGTTACTTCTGAGTTTGAATAGTGCCAATCGTTACAGTGAGTGTAGCCAATTCGTTAAGTCACGACCACGAACAGACGATTCGCTATTATACGAGACTGTTCGACGCACCGCTCTTTAAAATATTCTCGGTTTTGTATATTGCTTTGATATTTTCTGTCTCTGCTGCCTCTGCTGCCTACTGCCTCATTGTCCGAGTGGTCGTAAGTGCGACTGCCGGGCAACGGGTCTCAGATTCGATTCCCGGGGCGGGCAAAGTACAACAGGGTTTTAAAAAAAATCTCAGTAGTAGCACGGAGTCTGGAATTGTGCCCGGTAAATGGCAATAGACTCACCCACATGGGACTCATAACATAAATAGTGAGAAGTGGGTTTTACATTGTACAGTGGCATAATGTGCACCGCTGCCTACCCCTTCGAGGATAAAAGGCGTGATGTTATGTTATGTAATTTGTTTCCGTTTATTGATTTTAGTTAAGCTAGGTATGAAGCTAGATATAACAAAAAATAATCAAAACGCAGCTCGACGCTGCGCAGTCTCATCATTAATTTTTATTTATTCAGTGAGTGGCTCACAGGTGAGCAGTTGGCACTCACCGCTCGTCCAGCGCCAGCCCCACCAGCGGCGCCGGCAGCCCGCACCAGCCCACGGCCGGAGCGCACGCCGCGCGCACTTCCGCCTCGTCCGGCTCCGCCTCCTCCGGCTCGGGCTGGGCGCGCCGCGCGCGCAACCGGCCCAGGCGCGCGGCCAGGTCGCCCGCCGCGCTGGCCACAAGTTCGTGGCGGCCGCGGCGCCAGCACGCGCCAGGCGCCCAGCCGGCGCCCGCCGCCCGCCACCAGCTGGCGGCCACCGCCCGCCCCCAGAAGGCGCGGCTCGCTGCGCGTCACGACCGCGTGCCTGCGGGAGACGCCATGTGAGCGACGCTGCGAAGAGACCGCGCGGTGATACTGACGAGTGCTCCTCACGTCAAGTGCTGGCTTTCTTCGTTGTAAATTCTCAGCATTGGTGATGTCACTCCTTCATATTCAGACTCAGTTTCCTGCGCATAAAAATGTCACATAAGTACACAAGGAATCACTACATGGTTAAGGGTCCAGGTGCGTGCAGAGTGAGAGAGTGCCTCCACTCTCACGCGGGTACCCTCGTACCTGCGTGGCGGCGTTGAGCCAGACAGTGGTGCAGTAGAGGCCGGGCCCGAGGCGGCGCAGCTCGAGCGAGCAGAAGGTGTGTCCGAGCGTGTCGGCCCAGCACCCCGCGGCGCCAGCGCTGCAGCGGACGCGGCTGGCCACGGCTCCCAGCGAGCCGTCCTCTGCGGACGTCACTCAATGACGTTGTATGACTCGTTTGGGAAATGATTTGTGTGTTTGGTACAAAGATTCGTAGTTACAATGCCCACAAAATTGTGAATTAGGTACCTATTAAGGTTTTAATTAATAATTTTGTATGAAACTTATGGCACCACCGACTTCTAACCTATCAGTAGGTGGGTAACATAATATCAGTACTAATAATAGTTATTTTTTGCTTTTTAGTTTTGACTTTTTGTTTGTTATTAGTTTTTAGTTTTTTGTAGTCGGTTTTTAAACGCAGTTTTTATTTTATTATTTCATCATTTTCAGTGTAAAGCTACATATACCCGTTTTGTTACTTATAATCTACATAGGTGCAAAGTTCTAATTAATACAAGTTATACAAGCCCAAACACAAGGTAGTTAGGTACTGTATACCGTTGAGGAATTCCCTTAACAATTACACTTCTTCATCATCAGACCCTTAATGATGCCCCACTCTATCTAGGTGTAAAGTCCTCATCAATACAACTTAATCAAGCCCAAACACAAGGTAGTTAATATAAACCGTTGAGGAGTTCTCTCGACTGTCTGTCGGCTCCATCATCAGGTCGACTCCAGACCCTTATCAATCTGTAGTGTTTAAAAATCGTAATTGAAAAATATAATAGACGCATTACTCGTATTCGCCCATAGAATTTTCGAAAGTTTCCCTCGGTTTCCCTAGGATCCCATCATCAGATCCTGACTTCATGGAAATGGGACCATTTCGGGAGTATATCTTTTCAAACAAAACAAGAATTTTGGAAATCGGTTCACAAATGGCGGAGTACTGCGCGAACAAACAAAAAAAAAACAATCAGCCGAACATAGTACCTCCTCCTTTTTTTGAAGTCGGTAAAAATAACTCTGGCGGTCTGTGGCACACTAGATGCGATAAAAAACCTAATTAAATGACCAAATCGATTTTGTTTAAATATGACCAAATTTTGAGCACCTTCAACAGAGAGCACAAGCAACTCCCAGTCATGCACTAGTGTCAACGGGCCCGCCACCAAGAGGCGCGCGGCGCCCACCGCGGGCCACTGCACGCGCGCCACGGCGGCCCAGCCGCGCCCCCGCAGCGCCGAGCGGCCCCGCTCCACCCACCCGCAGGGCCCACGCGCCCACACCGCCACACTAGCGTCAGCACAGCCAACCGCCAAGCGCGTGCCCCCGTGGCCCGCGCCCAGCGCCCCGTGCAGTACACTGGCGCCCGCGCCATGCCGCGCCGCCAGCCGCCAGCCCGCATGCGCGCGCACGTACTCCTGCCGCCATCGTGCTTCTGGAACCATGTGCATCAGACTTTCACACATCAGTGAATTTTATTTTTAACTAGCTGTTGCCCGCGATTTCGTCCGCGCAGAATGACTTCTGGCAGAATTTAGGCTTTTGAATTAACTTTACCAAGGAACATTCCACGGTAACAAAAAATGTCGTAAGACTTTCAGTACTTAGGTTATACTTATTGTGAAATGAATTTATTTTTTCGTGATTTCAAAAAATAACCAATCCCAACAATCAGGTTCAACCCGTACAGAGCTCGCCTCGTGTGGTTTCAGTGATTAAAACTATTCTATCAAATGGATTTCAATCAAATGGATTCAGTGATTTAAAAGATATAGTGTCGGAATTTTAACGTATATCCCCGTTGCCGTGTGATTTTCGGAATAAAGACTATCACACTTCGTTTTCTAGGTGTCAAACTATCGTTGTACTGAATTTTTAACCATTTCAAAAAAAGGAGGAGGCACTATATTCAGATGATTATTATTTTTTGTTTGTTCACCAATTACTCCGCCATTTATGAAGCGTTATGTTTTGTTTGATTTTCATCAGGTTAGGATCTGATGATGGTTTGGCGTAGTGTGCCGAGTAATTTCGAGGCAAGCTTTAAAATAAAACACGTGTTAAATTGGCAAATCTTATATTCGACTTCGTCTATTGTCAAGAAGTGTAACGGCATCTAGTGTCACCAAGATAAGGATCAAACCATAGACGGTCAATCGCGACCATAAACAATATCAATATTCTCGCCTTAATATGCTAAAAGTGGGTCCCATACATATCTCTGTTATTGGGACGATACAATAGGATCCTAGGAAAACCAAGGGAAGCTTTCGAAAACTAAAGGGGCGTGTACCTAATACGACTATTATGTTACTTAATAAATAAATTTGAACATTAAAATTTGATAAGGTTCAGGAGTCGACCTAATGATGGAGCCGACAAACAGTCGAGGGAACTCCTCAACGGTTTATAGTAACTATCTTATGTTGCTTGATTAACTTGTATTGATGAACGGGTCTGTGCAGCTTTACACTAAAAATTTTATAAAATAAAAACTGCGTTTAAAAACTAACTTGAAAAAATTAGAAACAAACAAAAACTATTATTAGTACTGATAGGTTACCCTCCTATTGATAGGTTAGCAGTCGGCACCATAAGTTCTATACAAAATTATTCATTAAAACCTTAACAGATACCTAATATTAAGCTATTAACAATTTTGTGACTATTAAGTTATATCACCTAGCCTATAATTATGTTGACCCGATCTGTCAGTAATAATCATACAAAATTTGAAGTAGAGCCATGCAGTAATTTTTGAGATCATCCTGGATATATGTACGGTCAAATGTCAAAAGTCCACTGCCACCGTAAGACTACTATCGGTTGCGCTGCAGCGTTTATACACACATGCACACGCATAGAAGATAGTCATCTACGGCCTCACCGAATATTACAAGGAGCCTGAAGTTGACCTGCATAACCGAATCATAGAGGTATTCCGTGATATCCAACAAGTGAATTTGATGGGTTACACAGAAAATATATATAGATTAGGCAGAAGCAATAGTACTGTAGTCCGGCCGCTTGTCATCGAGTTAATAAGTAAAAGAATGGCTAAATATATTATAAACCACAGCCACTATTTCCAGGGAACACGATTGTCAATATCTGAATTTTTGGACGAAAACTCTCGAAAAGAAAGACAGCAAATGCGAGAGGAAGTGATAAAAGCTAGAAAAAATGGCTTGCATGCGGTAATAAGAAATAATCAGCTATATGTAGAAGGAAAAATTATTACTTCAAGAGATGTAACGCATAACAATAATAAACCAAGCAATCTACCAAGCGACGACAAAAGGAATTCTGGTGTATACAGGGATCTCCACCTCAGAGACTCAACAACTGGAAATGGAAACTTAAAATTGACTTCACAAAACAATAATTTCCCACAGCACAATAATTCCTTTCGAAAAGTCAGACCAACTTTTTAAGATCCTATTTCAGAATATTCAAAGCCTGTATAATAAGCAGCATATACTTGAAACTTTTGTTGAAGATAACCCCATATATAATGCAATATGTATCTCAGAGTCTTGGTTGTCATTGGACAAGCTCAGCATGATGCACTTCAATGGATATAAAATAGCCTCGTCTTACTGCCGAAGTACGCGAGTGGGAGGTGGCGTCTGTATCTTGCTGCAAGATCACATTGACTACAAAGAAATAAGTGATATAACGGACATGTCTATAGAATATATTTTAGAACTATGTGCAATAGAGTTACCAAAAGAAAATATTTTATTAGTGTCAATATATTGGAATAGAAGAGAGGAAGAAGTATTTATTAATCAGTTAAAACGTATCTTAAGCTTTATAAATAAAAAGTATTTTAAATTTAATATAATAATAGGTGGAGATTTTAATATGGATATTTTAGAGAAGACTGTTAAAACTAGAAAATTTTTAGACCTAATGCTAGAATATAAACTGACACAACACATAAAAACACCCACACGAAATACACAAACTACATCCACATGTATAGACTTGATATTTACAAACACGAATACAGAAAAAATTTACACATATGTTGAGGAGCTGGGCTTCTCAGACCATAGCGGGACGATTATACACATTTCGACACCAATACGACACTCGACAAAGCAAACATGGTATGTTAAAAAAAGATTATTTAATAAAACGAATATTTTGAATTTTAAGTCAAAACTAAGCGAATATAATTGGAAAAATATTATATCTGAAAATAACACTCTCAATAACAACTATAAAGCATTTCAAGATACACTAAAAAATATTCTCAACAGTAGTATACCAATATGTAAAATAAAACTAAAAACTAACTTTAAAAAGCATTGGCTAACCACGGGTATAAAGATATCTTGCAAAAACAAAAGACTGTTAAAAATTCTCACTCTCAAAACCAAAAATCCTGTCATTACAAGTTACTATAAGAAATACGAAAAAATACTGAAAACTCTGGTAAATGCATCAAAAAAATTACAATACATAAACAAAATAAAAACATCTTGCAATAAGGTCAAAACAATGTGGAGTATTATAAATGAGAGAACAAATAAAAAATCTAAAAAGGAGTATGAGAATATGAAATTGCTAATAGAAAACGACCTAGTAACTGAACCTAAACAAGTAGCCAATATTTTTAATGACTTCTTCGCTTCCATTGGAGAAAATAGCTCCAATTCATGCAGCGGCCAACCGGGGGTGTCTTCTGTATTGAGTCCAACAGAAAACACGATGTTTCTTGGCCCGGTGGACGCTTGGGAGGTGAACAGAGTGATTAAGAACCTTAAAAACAAAAGTAGTCATGGGTTTGATGAATTACCACCTATGCTATTGAGACAATGTGCGGACGAACTTACTTTGCCGTTCTTCCTACTATTGAACCAATCATTTGAGGAAGGTATCTTTCCTGATTTGCTAAAAAAATCAGTAATAAAGCCAATTTTTAAGAAGAATATAAAAACAGATCCAAACAATTATCGTCCAATAGCACTCTTACCGTCTTCTTCAAAAATATTTGAAAAAGTCATGTGCGATCGCATTTACACCTTTTGTGAAAAATATAAGATATTTAATGAATGCCAGAACGGCTTTCGAAAAAATCGTTCCACAACCCTAGCCGTATACAAATATATCCAAGAAGCCCTTAACATAATAAACAACAAAAAATACGCAGTAGGTATATTATTAGATATGACCAAAGCGTACGATAATAGAATAACCACAGAAAGAAATAAGTCAATAGTTAGTTTTAAGTGATCTATAATATTTTTTTCTTATGGATCGCCATGTATTTATTTTGTAAGAATTGTAAGAGCATTATTCTGTTTTTCTGTCGCCTCTTTTAATAATTTTATAATAAATATCTTGATTAGGTTATTCCTCATAGTGTATGTAATCAGTTTGTATTTATTTTTAATTTACTCGTATATTGATTACTACATTGACTAATAAATTGATTAAGAAAACACCAACGTTTTTAAATATATAAAAATACTCAATAATAATGATGAATTTAAAACCAATTCTACTTTCTTAGTATTATAGTTTCATATAAAACACGGATAAAACCGCCAAAATTCGTAAAATAATGTTTGATATGCCGATGTATCGTGAATAATTTCGTCGAATATTGTTTTATGTATCCTGACATCTCATTCAATATTTTTTTTGGCAAAAGAACGTTGTATGTGCACATGCGACCCATTATACTTGAAAAGGCATAGTTTATAAAACAAATAATTATATTATCATAAACGGTACTAACTTCTGTGCATACTGTACAAATATTAAGTAGCTAGTATCATTTATAACAGATTTATAAGCAAATATGTGCGCGCGAAATTTATAATCGCTCTACTGAAAAGTCGACAATTTGCAAATAGAACATTATTCTACTAATGGGACGATATATATATAGATTATGGATGATATTGCAAGCAATCACGAATATAAAAAATAAACGATTACTATCATTAGTTATGATTTTTTTGTGAAACGTTTTGAAACTCTGGTCAGCTGTCAGCTGTCAGTGTCAATATCTTTCATTCGCTCTGCGTTTCCGTTGTTTTGATTATTGTTTCGTGTTTTAAACAAAAACCGCAAGTTTTACAGGTTTCAGGACAAATGTTTAGGTATCGGTACACGATGCTGAATACTGCATGCTTGTACACGACTTCTAATATAGTGGGTCAAAGATGTACTGAGCACCTGGCATTGTCCTTTGAGCCCAATCTGTCCACTGTCCAGCGGTTTGGGCTTTGCGTTGATAGATCACTATATCAGTCAGTCACCTTTGAATTATATTTATAGATTTATTTATTTTATGTAACCAACAACAACTAACCTACTGTGGCCTTATCAGCCCAAACAGGTGCCCCAATCGCGTTATTCCCGTTCCTGTAGGATTTTTGGAATTCACTTCAAACTACATAGTTTCTTCCAGCGGCT